AGCCTATCACATAACCTTGGGCACTGGACTACGGAAATTACTGATGGTCAATTGAAGTGATTGCTATTCCGTAACACTCAGAGAATGTGATGCCTTGCCACAAATTTGGAAAATCCCTGACTTTCTCTCTCTCTCTCTCCCTCTTAATTAGGTTTTCAAATTAAGTAAATGTATTTTAAAGGGATTCCGGTCGTTACTTGGTCATGCATAATCAAGTATTTTACAATAGTTTAGTGTCGATCAATACTTAAAAATCCATCAACATCACCTGAAACCACTAAATAAAATTAGCTACAAAAGTTTATTAACTAATTGCTTTAGTAGAACAATGGCTTTAGTAATAAGCTAATAGCATTTAGTTACTAAATCAGCTTATTAGGTGAAAAACTAACTGAAGTCTTGAAAAATTAAGAAACATTTTGGTAGGCTTCTCCCATGCATTAAACATACAGTACTCCCTTACAGACAATTAATTATACCGAAGACAATTAAAACGAACATTCTCTCCGGTATTTTAGAATCAGTTTTGATTATTATTTTGTATTATTTCACCTACTTTGAAACTACTTGGCCCTAACAAAACTATATATTCCTAAACTCGTCCTCTAGGCTCGTCTATAATAATAATGTAAAAATTTAGTCAACATGAGCACACTCAAGGTAACTGGATATGAAACGCACAAAACATGCTCCAACGTCACTTGTAGCATCTAATGTGATTTAACGTACTGATATTGTACAACCGAATTCTGCGTCCATTTAAGTTTATGAATAAAGCATATTATTCCATATTTTGATTTGACTAAATGAGACTGCGTGACTTCGTCATACCTTTCTTCCGTTGTGCCAAAATTTTGCACACTCATGATGACTGGCAGTTTGCAACAACGACCAACATCCTTTCTTCATGTTGACTGTTGCGTTTCGCACCTTCTTAGGCAGTTTGTTCACGTACTTCCTGATAAAGAAATTTGCTAATCATTTATTTCTTGACCAATAAGTAGACTAATGGATTTCAGAATTAGTTCGAAATCACGACGTTGTTTCTGTTGGCAAAGAAGCAATTTGGGATTTAACTGAAGGTGTGGCATAACATGAAAACATCACGAGTGCCATATAACTGTTGCGAGACCTAAAACCAGCCTGAAGTAATGTTTCATGTATATTCAGTAGTGTGTACATTGTTTATCAATTTTCCCCCGTATGTGTAACTAATATTGTAGTTTATAAAAATTTATCGATATTGTGACTGCCAATAAAAAACAAATGCATGATAATCTGACGTATGGTTTATTATTTAAGTTGAACGATTCTGGTATCCAACCAGCATTGTGGTGTATACATTTATAGAGATGCAATAATTCAATTATATACATATACTAATGTCAAGAAATCTAGTTGAGATCATCCTAAACTGCATTGTTGTTTGAAAAAATATAGAGATCCACATACATCAATAATCCAACTATACAGCGGTCAAGCCAAAACTCGATCGATATAAAAATCAAAAGCTTCACTTGATATTGAATTTCTCATTAATGTACCCATATTATCCAGCGAGCGAATTATAGATGTGAAATTTCAGCGATGAAACCCAGAGTTGAAGCTTACTCACTTGGCTCTATAGTATACTATGGAGCCCCAGTTAGGGTTCGTTGCGAAACTGGGCAAGTACGAGACCTTGAACTGTATGTTGGAGCTGCTCAATGTTCATAATAGAATTTGTAACAATGGGCAAATATAATAGTCCTAACAATGCCTACAATGTACCAAGTTCTGCCTAGAGCAAAGTGTCATATCATCAAGATTATCAAATAGTTTAGGCTTACATATCTTCATATTTTGTCTTCTAATGTCCCTAAAGTCTTTTATTCTCATACGGTTAAAGCTACTACCATATTACAGATATGTTGACTCAGTTAATGTATTTTATTCGTATTTTAGATAAATTTTTTAATAAAACCTAAACATGATCTACAAGTTTTACTTTCGTCCACAACCAGCTAGTTGTGTCTCGTATCTTATTAAACAGTGCTATATTAAGTAAAATTGCAGTGTCTGATTAAAATGATACAATTTTGCATGATCCAGAGCTAGTTTGTAAACAAGGGAAGTGCGTTTCGTTTCATGAGGAGTTTGAATCTTGCATTTGAGAGTTTGTCCTCTTAAGGATCGGCGGGTTCGGATAGGTTTTGTCCATATTGATTCTTGTGTTTCGCACAAATTCACACTCTAGGTGCGAATTCGACAATTGACAAACAATTAGCGAGAACAGGATGTCTTTGCGGCACGCCCGAGTCAGTTTACTCTTCGCCTAGGTCAGTAATATAGCAGACAAGGGATTCGGCGAACTGGCAAGAATTACGTTATCTGTAGAATCACAATGATGTCATGACACATACATTTGTTCCGTAGTACACAGCACATTTTCTAAATTCTTAATGTTGTTTTTAGAATTTACCAGACCTGTAATTATATAAACGAGGTTTAGGCTTTATTATCTTCCTGGTTGGTTTGTGATTTCTAGGAATTAGTAGTCTACCATTAGGCTTGAATGTTTAAAACGAAATAACTAAAACGAATGTGATGAATATAATCTACCTCTAAAAATGCTCTTCGTTGAAAGTTATTACTCTTTGGATATTTCAGATATTTGTTATAATTGTTTGTGTTTTTACTCGTTGCTTTACTAACAGAAGGATTGTATTTATTAACCTTGAAAAAATGCTATAAACTATACCAGGGCCCAAAATCAATTATTGTTTACACTTTTCATACATTACACAATTATTATTTTTATTCACACAGGTTGATATACAGTAATGTTTTGTTTGTTGGCTGAACTGCTAAAAATTTATATAGTCGATGTTAAACTAAAAGTCTGTATCTACTTTACCCATGGGACATTTTAAACATTGGCAAACAAAATCAACTTCACATGTTTGAAAGTCATTCCAAAAATTGAGGTAAATTAGTGTTTTATTTTTCTAATAAAAAGCTGGTTTCCAATAAACAGTAAACGGATGTATACAAATATGTTAAACACCCACATTTAAAGTGTTGTTGAACACTTAATGTTTTTGTAACAGTTTGGCGTCAAAAGTTATTGTCATGTTAAATCGCTGTACTTGTCATGCAGTATTTTCAAGCAGGTAACAGTTATCGCAGGTGCTAAAGTAGTTGAAAGGGGGGAGGGAAGGGGGGATAGACGTCACAGCTACAGAATGACAGAGAGCTATTCTAGACCAACACAAGTGACATTGCCAGTGTCATGAATGAACACTTTATACTTCACAGCCAAACACCTTCCAATGCCACATCAATATTCCCACTATAGGCTACTTTGTCTCTATCATTGGGCGCTGGAAATATGTTGTACTTATAGACTTTTATGTACTAATTTTGACTATGGATAGAACTGAAAATTCTATTCCCATGTTAAAGTATTTCTTAGAATATAAATTATGGTGATAGATAGAGCCACAGAATGTGCTGATGTAGGGGCCTATATTGTTGATTTCTGTTAAATAAATAGGTCTTTTTCCTAATTTACTGCCACCACATTTTATTGCAATTCCGTTTATTCACAACCAGAATTTTTTTAATAATCAGCAAGTTTGGTTGGTTGGGTTTGTTTAGAATAGTTTAGTTTTATAATTGATATATTCATAGACTAGGCTAACTGTTAAGAATATCGTAATTGCAATTACAAAAATAGTAGTAGCAGGGCATAAAATAACATGTTAACTGGGCGACACAAGTGTCACCCAGTCCTGAGATTTTATCACCCAGTGACTATGGGTGGTGCCGGCATATTTTTTTAAAATGATCCACATTTTAAATTTATCGGAATTTAAAAAGAACATTAGGCCTATGTAAATATTTTAGAGTAGGGTATTGAGCTATGATTTTGGCCCAAGAGGTTGTGAAGTGAGCCTTGGCCTGTTACAACGTTCTAGAATACCTACATATTTAAGTGAGATTAAATGGACTATTTGCAAGCAAATATAATAGTAAAATTCATTAAAATATACGTAGAAATGTGTGATTTTCACTTTAATTTATGCAAAAATTCCAGGGGGAGCCCTCGGACCCCCCTTTTTGATGGGGTATTCCCCTCAGACCCCCCGGTAAGTCCGGCGCCACTGTCGCCCAGTGGAAATCCCTTAAAATATGCTCCGAGTAGTAGTGAATTAAAAGAAAAGAACCGATAAGTAAACTTTTTAACATAGCAAACTGAAAGCCAAAATTATTGTATAGATATAATTTTTTATGTCACATTAACTATCTCAGTCACAAAAAATAAAGGAGAAAGCATAATTTTCTCCTATAACATACACTGTAAATGGTTCATTCAACTATGATGGTCCCACAGCTGGTCCATATTGATAGGATGCCTACTTCAGTAGCCCAAAGTCAATGGTAGTTTTTTTGGCTGAAGAGTACAAAGTCCTAAAACAGACTCAGTCCAGTAGGGTTTCAGCTCACTGGACTGGAACATCACAACTACTACTGAGACTTTAACCAAATTAATAACCGATGCTTTCTTTGCAATTCAAAGTATTGTTTATATTTGCCTGTGAACGAAAGCAGAGATAAATTAAATGATGAGAATTATTTTTGGAACTATCGAATAATTTTTAATCTGTGTAGATATGGTATGGATTTTTTGAGAACTGCAATTTTGTTTTTATGTGACATAATGCTTGATACTAATTATATAACTTTATCAGGGAATCTAGGGGATAGCTCGCCTAGTAATCAGGAGGTTGCCAATTTGATCGTCATAAAAATAAGAAGCTTTTAGAAGTTTGGAAATTGGGCCCAGATGTCCTTCATCATGGGACTAGAAATGGTCCTGGCTAAAGAAATAACTGATCAACGTCGGTAACAAAGCTGTCTTTCATCTAGCAATTCGTTCATTCTCTGCAAATATGTATACTGTTTTGATTTGATAAAAATTGAATTAATAATATCATTAACTGTTATTTTATTTTCAGTGACATATACTGCTACGGATCGTTACTACATGTCGTTCAGATGGCTTCAATTTATCACGACTCTAAAACCTTTGTCGACATGAAGATGAAATACAAATCCAACGAAACCATAAGACTATTTGAAGAGATGATGAAGAGGACAGACCAAAGGCCAACGAAGCTTGATGTGGAGATATTTGTAAACGAAACCTTTGACCCGGCAGGAAGTGAGTTCGAGGAGTGGACACCAACAGACTGGATACAAGAACCCAGGTTCCTAGAGAAGATTCTGGACCCGGATCTTCGCCACTGGGGCAGTCAATTAAATGTGCTCTGGACTATTTTAGGCCGTAAGATGAAAGACGATGTACGAATTAACCATGACCATTATTCTATTATATATGTTCCTCACCCTGTGATAGTGCCGGGAGGCCGATTCAGAGAGTTTTACTACTGGGACTCTTATTGGATAGTCAGAGGACTTCTTCTGTCGGAGATGTACCAAACTGTAAAGGGGATGCTGTCCAATTTTCTATCAATAGTTGACACTTACGGGTTTATTCCTAATGGAGGTAGGGTTTACTACGCGATGAGATCCCAACCTCCTCTTCTCATCCCTATGGTAAAAAGTTACGTTGATGTTACACATGATTATGACTTCCTCAAAGCAAATATTCATATTCTTGAGAAAGAATTCCAATTTTGGCTGAATAATCACACCATTGAAGTGGAAAAAGATGGGAGAATGTACACTCTCGCCCGGTACAAAGATGCTTCACAAGGTCCTAGACCAGAATCTTACAGGTCAGTGTCCAGGTTTTTGTTTTTTACTTTTCCTTTACAATTAGATGTAATGCGTTGTTGTTTTGATCTTTATTTGGACTATTCAATTCTATTATTATAAACGAAAATAAATCATGATCATGTAGTCATTTTGAAATATAATCCAAGTGAGTGTTTGTATTATTTTTAAGCTGGCCCTAATGTAGCATGATAAAGGTGGATGTAATAATATAAATGAAAATATAAATAGAACGCTTACAACATTTTTTATAGCTTAATGCTACAACAAAAGCAAAAATATGTTGAAGGTATGTGTGCTCACTCATCACTCATCACTCCATTACACTTTCTGGTTTGCTTTTTGATCTGGGATATCTTTGTCTAAGATCTGAGTTTACAAAATCATCTAGTCTAAAAAACCATTTTTTTTTTTTTTGTAATTATTTGTACTTATAAAATTCACTCTATTTTTCAGTGGCAGATAACTAAAAAACTAAAAATAAATATTTAAAATCTGCATTTGTACTTCCAGGGAAGATATTCTAAGTGCAGAAATTTTCAAATCAGACGAAGAGAAGGAGAGTTATTACCGAGAGCTGAAGACGGCAGCTGAATCCGGCTGGGACTTTAGCAGTAGATGGTTCATACTGAATGGAACCAACAAAGGTATACATCCTTGGAAATGTAACGGTTGTGTTCTGTTCAGGAATTACATTTCACAGTAATCTAAAAACCTATTCTTTATAGTCTTCCGGATTTGAAGTTAAAAACCACAACATTTCTGCTATATCCATCCATTGTATTTAGCCCAATACTTGACCCATGCTAGATTCTCATAAAATGACTGAAACTGGCTATTTTTGTGAGTGACTCTGTATATCAGATGAGATTACCCAGTGTAGGATATGTCTTTGGGGGAGACTTAATTTCTCAAGATATTTTCAGAGGTTGGGAGAAAATGTTACTCTTATTTTGGACCAACAGTGAACCACCCAAGAGCTTAAAATCAGTTACATCCAGTAACCTTTCCAAAGTAACTTGTAAACAGATGTTTGGTAGTATTAGACTAGTTTCCAACAGTTTTTCTGAAAATCTGATGTATCTGAAAACCACTTGCCAAATAAATGCATTTTCATACACTAGTTCATTAATTTTATTATTGCATAGGACTTCCCAAGGGTTTATTAAAAATATATTAAAACTGAAGCTCATATATGTGCAAAACTCAATACTCCTTATAGAATATGATTGAGTAATTTAATTAGCAGTTTCTGTTAAAATCATTTATGCTGAAGTTTAAATTATAACAGGTTACGAACCTTGACGTCCACAATTCCTCAGTCGAACTTTTGTTGACTATAGTTTCGACTACTAAGTAGTCATTTTCAAAACAGAACGTTAAAATATTTCATTCATTGAATGCAAATCTTCTTAAATACATTTAACACAAACACAACACGAACACTGTAGACATTTAACATAGTTGGCCGGCCGGTGCAGTTCAGTGACGTGTGCCGGCCGGCCAACTATGTTAAATGTCTACCGTGTTCGTGTTGTGTTTGTGTTCAATGTATTTAAGAAGATTTGACGACATTCAATGAATGAAATATTTTAACGTTCTGTTTTGAAAATGACTACTTAGTAGTCGAAACTATAGTCAACAGAAGTTCGACTGAGGAATTGTGGACATCAAGGTAAGTAACCTGTTATAATTGATTACCAATTCCGGAAGGCTTCAATATGAATGAAGTTTAAAGTTCAACTCAGAATCACTTTTTTAGAAAGTAAATATACCAAAGAGAACTGAGAAGTATTTTCATTAATGCAATTAATAATTTTATAGTTAGCACCAAGTGAGTATCAGATAAATGGAGCTTGTAGTCGTTGGTCAATGTGATAATCTTAAAATTCTTTGGTCTTATAGTCCTATTGTTGCCATACAAGTTTTCATAGTAATCTTACTTATTCTTTCCTATTTAAATTCTTTTATCCTCCTAGGTAACCTGACAAACCTGAAGACATCTTACATCATTCCTGTTGATCTCAATGCCATTCTGTACTGGGACGCAGTCATCATGTCTGAATTCTACAAGGAGCTTGGAGATGCCGACAAATCTATGAAGTTCTCAACAATCGCAGCCGATTGGCTAGAAGCTGTCACACAAGTGCTTTGGCACGAGGAGATCGGTGTTTGGTTAGATTATGACACGTTAAACCATATCAAAAGAGACTATTTTTACCCCACAAACATTTCACCCCTCTGGACGATGTGTTACAATCGGGAGAACACAAGTCATTATGTGTCAAAAGTGATGAAGTATTTAGAGAAAACACAGATCATGGTTAATCTTGGGGGGATTCCGACAACGCTAGAGCACACAGGAGAGCAATGGGACTACCCCAATGCTTGGCCTCCCCTGCAGTACATCATGATCATGGGCCTGGAACAGACCGGAGACTCCTGGGCACAAGACCTGGCCTTCGAGATGACTGAGAAGTGGGTCCGTTCCAACTACAAGGCCTTCAATGAGACTAATGGCATGTATGAAAAGGTCAGTTTAGAGTGAAATTTTCTGGGTTAACATTTTTAGAGAGTATAACAAGTTGAAGAAAATATCGCTAATTCTTATACACAGTCAATGAAATAATCTATTGTTTTGACAATTGTAAAACAAGTCTGTTAATAGCAAGCAACAGCAATAGTCACTTTTAAGGCTGAAGGCATGTTAGGAATAAGTGTGCATGCATACTGTATTTCCCTCAATGGAGGTAGCTATAATCGTAGTCTACATGACCATACCCTACAAAATCCAAATACACTATTAGTGTAGTTTGTTATACGATTCCTTAGGAAAATAGAATCAATTTAGAATATTACTTTATAATTCCATCTCTGTTGGTTAACAAGATATAAAATGCAGTACATTGTCAGGAGAATGAACTAATCAATGTAGATTCCCATCTTTATAAAGTTTGGTAAATTTATCTTATGGTATTCAGTAAGATTTTTGAACCTTACAGCAAAACAATTTTATTAATTGTATTTAGCAGGAAATCTAAACACTTATTGATCTAAATATTATTTATATTTGGTGTGGTACTGTCTATAACTTTACTTTTTTGAGTAGTATAGAATCAGTTAAACATATACATAAGAGGTTAATTCATCTTTATTTCATCTAGTGATTTCTATACCGCTTCTAAGGGTGGATGATGATCGTTTCGGTGACTATGTCACCTTCTTCGGATCCTTTTCCAGAATATTAATCTTCTCTTAGACTGTTATGCACTTATGTATATATTTTGGCTGAGTTAGTCAAAATATTATACATGCATAGACAAAAATTAATACAAAACATGTTTTTTTTTTAATATTTTTAATTTGTCCATTTTATTTTTAACTTATTTTCATATAACTTCAGTAAAGCAACTAAACATGGTCTGTGAGTTTACTACAACAGAGGTATTTTTAAATAACCCTTTCATAAATAATATACAATGGTTTTAGTGAATTCTCTAAAACTTAGCAATACATATTGATATTCTTGACTCATCGTTATTGAACTTCTGTTTGTTGAATGGACGCTTTCTAACCTCAGGTAAACTGTTTGGTATATCTTGTTCAGTTTCCTTTCATGTAGCCTTTGAAGTATGGTACTTCAACACCCCTCACAACTCTAAAAATACTGTAGCACAGCACTAGACGAGTAAGATACTCTAAATAAAGTAAATGTATTGTGATTTGGAATGTGATGAGAATCCTAAATATCTGAGAAGTGGAGGAAAGGGCAGTTGCAAGGGGAGCATCAATTGTCAGGGTTTTAATACTACAATTGGTTTTCTCGTGAGAGGTGAAAACTTTTATTTCATCGTTGTGTTCAAATGCTTTGATACCAAAGGTACATATTGCAAAAAAAAAATATAAAATATACAATTGGTGTTTGTAGACTTTTAACACGTTCGCTACCACAATTATATGGAATTTACGTTCGCATAGACCAGCGACGCAATTGTGCGTCGACTCGTTTCTCACAATAGACCACCGACGCATATTTGCGTCAGCTGGTCACATTGAAATAGACTAACGACGCACATTTGCGTCGGTGTTCTAATGTTATTAAACAGCGTATTTCTTAGCAACGGTCTATTTTAAAGCCCGGATTTGATCGTATCGGTCTAGAGGGATATCTGCCGCAAATGTGCGTCGCTTGGTCTGTGAATATGATGATTGGTTACGTCACACAACAGTTGGCAACATTGTTGTTTACATTGTGTATTCCGCGACATCACAGAACAGATGTAAACGTTATAACCTTTGCAGTTTTGGCTAGTGTTTAGTGGAGTTTCTTTATTTAAATAGTAGTCATGATCATTCCTTTTAGTCTGTAGGAGTGACCGGACCGACGCAAATGTGCGTCGCTCGGTAGCGAACGTGTTAATTTGATATCACACATCACAAAAAAATACGTATGTTCGTTGAGTAGAAACTGTCCTGGAACAGCTAGCAGACATTAAATGAAAACATCAGTCTTTTCAAAATGCTCTTAATAGTACATGTTTAGTTTAAAGTAAAGGAATATAAAAATGTGGTACTTTTACTTGTATTTCGAGTGATTCACCGGCACTATTTCGTCCGCAAGGCATTTCTTGTTATCAACCTCAAGTTTCTTTCTTGAGGGGGGGGGGGGTGAGTTTTATTTTAAAGAGGGGGTTTCAAATAGGGTTAATACTTGTCCTCCCTATGACTGTTGTACCTGTATGTTTACCTAATGTATTTTGTACAGTACGATGCAACAGTGCCGGGAGGTCACGGAGGTGGAGGGGAGTACGACGTCCAGGTGGGGTTCGGCTGGACCAACGGAGTGATCATGGAGCTGCTAGAGCGCTACGGCAGCAGACTGACAGCTGAGGAGAGGTTCACAGCCATCAGTGCAGCCAGTATAGAGGGGCCCGTGGACAGCGGGGCCAATGTGTTAGGAGGGGTTGTCACTGCACTACTAGCCCTCGTAGCAACTCTAGCAGCAGGATGTATAGGGTGAGGTGAGTGTCATATAGAGAATAAAAGGTTTCAAAAAGTTGTGTCACTTTTCATGACAAGATCAGGACACATACCCTGTCAAAGCTGTCAAACCACAAAATAAAAACAACAAAGACAAACATTAGTGCCTGTGTTGTCACCTGAGAACAGGATGAGATTTTTATATGATAAAAAAAATCCTGTTAAATGTTAGAAAATGTCAGTAAATAAGCCTTTAACTTACCAAATAAAAAAGAGCTTTAAAAAAATATGTATTTAGATTTTTTGTGAAAGATTGTATAGAGACAAGTCTATTTTGAAATAAAGTAGGCCTATAGTACCAATTATCCAGCCTTCAGTTATCCGGCCTTCTCTATGGAGGATCATGCACTATGAGATTTCTATTTCCATGTGACATAACTGTACAAGTGTATAACATAGCATGTTTGTCAAGAACAACCTAGAACAACAATTATTTGCTACCTCCGACTATACTCAGAAAATACTCGCCATGCCTAAAGGCACTTTACGCAATAGTGTGTAATGGCGTGTGTGTTTTACGCTTTAATTTATGGGCCAAGGCCCCTTTGTGGAAGATGACTAACACCTGTTGTCCCCTTCTCTTAGGGGTACACCTAATTTAAGTTTAAGTAACGTTTTGTTATATAAATAATAGAGTATGTTATTCTAAGACTGAAAATTGCTGGTGACTTAACTACCTCACGCCATTCCTCCCTTATATGCGCATGATCAAAGATCCCTGTAGAATTACGCATCTCTCTCACACACACATATTTTATACAGATCATAGTTTTTTCCTCATAACTATATCAAAACGAGTTTATTTGTTTGTAAAACACTACTGTGTATCCGCGACAGTAAAGTTTATACCCTACAGTTCAGTTAAATTTTTGTCTGCCTTTTAATACTCATTGCCCCTTTGTCCCCCCACAAATTTATTGCCCCCCTTAGAACCCAAATCGCCAACTAGGGGGTGATCGCTCCTAGGTTGGGAACCACTGTTTTAGTTTATCTTGGTTTTCGCACCACATATCACATAGTTTGTCAATTCCTCAAACCTGCAGCCTCTGCTACTCCTCACGCCTTAGTCTCAGTGCTAACAGAAACCTATGGTTTTATCTTATAGTTTTTCTGTTGCAGTAAGTTTGTAAATTTTTCAGAACGCTTAAAAAGGCAATCTAAAACATTTTTACTCAACTTTAAATATAACTTTTGAGTGTAATTTACTTATCACATAATATTTACTTAATTGTAAATGAAAGTGATAAAAATTAAAAATATACATAAAAATTTTAACATTATCAAATTGTACTTTTGATTAATGTTCTGTAGTATTCGGCCTTGCCATAGCCAGGTAAGATAGGACATTCGGGACTCTACTGTATTTTTTTTTTTTTAATCAAATAAAAGATATCAAACTTTTTGTCAACTCATTTATACAATCCATCCCTCTGGTTTGAATAATTTAACTGTATGAATTAGTGTTCTATCTCGCACCTCAGTATTTTAGCTGTATATTTTTCATATGTTTTACTAATGTATAATAAAAGTAATTTATATTTGTTATGTTTCAGATTTTTACTGTTGTATATTAAGAGTTTGTAAGAGTGATCCGGTCGGTAGCTGAGAAGCAGGTCAGATATAAAAGTTATGTTAAGTGGTTTTGTTTGTGTCCAGTTAATTCAAGTGAGTAGTGAAATCTCTCTTGTCCCATCCAATTTCTTCCTCGGTTTTAGTCCTTCATATACTGTATGTATATTGTTAGTTACCACAACTTCTAGTCAAACGAGTTATTTCTTTAAAATTTTATCGCTGATTCGTTGATAGTTATCACTATTTATTTGTGGTATTCAAATCCTTTTTGGATATGAGTACAAACTTTGTTTGGTCATTAATCGGGGAAGTAAAAAATATTAAAACCTGTAACGATGCATAGTATTGTTAGAATTCGCTGAATCATTGGTTCTAATACGAAGAGATTGGATGGATGAATGGAGTTTTTTACTAAATCGAATAGCTTAATCTTCTGTTCTTATTTAGTAAAAGAAAATAGTAAGCCTTATTTCTGTATCATGTCAGACCGACCCCATTGCTACGTAAATACACCTTTCATTAATCTTTTTTGTCAACCTTTGGAAAATCAAATAGGGATTTGTTAAGTTTTGTTTGTAAAATCTTATTTTTAAATTTACAAATGTTCAAATAATGTGTCTACTGTAGTCTAGTCATGAGACAGAAGTATGGCTTGGCTTCCTAGCACAGGAGTGCATTGAATGATACTAGTATGTTGTGTGATAAGTTGATAAAGTCTTTCACTCGTTGTAATGTTTATGTATTGTTAGTTAGCTTATGCTGGCACACTCTTGCTAGTGATATTTTACCGTCTGTGATAGCACTTAACACTGCGGTTCTCTCATAGCTTCACATTCCACTTGTATTTTTTACACCTCCAACTTTTCTATTTATTTTTTAGATACAATTATTCCTTGTATTTTTTCAAAACAGTTACTCATAAAAGCTAATTTCAAATTTATCCTTCTCGCGATTTCATATTTTAGTAATTAATAGAGTTTTATAGTGATAAAAATGTGTTTATTAAAGTGACTTTGTACACACCTGTACAAATTTAGTTTTAAAGTTATAAATATGTTAAATTTTCACTAGTCAAGAAACTATTCAAAGATAATGTAGTTATTATTTTGATACAAAAAAAACATGTTTCAGCCCTTATTTACATTACATACATTTCACCCTTTTTATCTGGGCAAACACAGTTTGTGTGAAGTATGAATATAAACTTTAAGTATAAAACAAATATTTGTACCTGTCAGCAAGATTTTTTCTATTTAAATAAAGGAATATTAATTTTAATGCATTTTTACAAAACTATATTTGTTTTTAAACTATCCAAGACTCAGGGTATTCATGTTTATAGGACCCCCACCCCAAAGAAAATAATACTCGTTTTCCTTATCAAATAGTACTTTCTTTTTGCCTTTCATTCAAGTGATCCTCCTGATTTGTTTTGATATCTCACACATTTATTTACACTTTACACACACAGATCTTAGTTTGTTTCAAAGTAGGAGACATTTTTTATCATCCTTCGATTTTGGTTTAAAAAGTAAGGTTTTATGATACATTTTCAAAAAGTGCAACATTTAGCAAAGTTGAATTCCGAAAATGATACCCATCAAAAAGTTCTAATTATTGAATATTAATCTTTTAGTACCTATTATCAATATTTTACTAAACTATTATCAAACATTGGGCTTTAACATTCTACTTCCTTTGCAATAGGAAATTACGGTTCATGGCTAATTATTATAAGAGTAGCACTTATTGTCTTCTTCCAAAACAATTACTTTGCATGATCTTTTTAGCTCTTGTATATTGAATTTCACCCATACTTCATGCACCGCTTTTCATAACTGCACTTAACCAAGGCTATGTAATAATAAGTCAATGACTACTTAATTCATTTGATTTCAAGCACATTAAAATTAAGTTAATTAGCGTAAAACAACTAAAGAAATCTTTTTGAATTAATGCAGGGATTTTAAGAAGCACATGTCGCCTTTTTAAAAGCATGCATAACTCCCCCCCCCCCCCTACCATCGCTTTACCAACTGCTCTTAACCAAGGTTGTAAGAATATGACCACTTTTCTTCATTTAAAAAATGCTAAATTATGTTCCTTTTACGTTGTTTAGCATTGTTTAAATGAAGAAAAGTGGTCATGCATATGGAAAAGGAGGCATTTCTCTGTTATTATTTATCCATTCTTAACAAATAAGGTATCATTGAAATCTACATAAAATTTACTAAATCTTTTGTCTCTTGCAATTTTTTTGTGAAGTTTACGGTTTTTGTGAAATTTGGCATCAAATATTTTAAAGTGCTGCCATTTTGAAAAGGTTATTGATTTTTTAGTGTAATTTTAAACAAAGATAAGTCTTAAACAGTTTTGCAAAATCTCAACCCTGTATTCCAAACCGTTTAGGAGTTAATGTTTTTGTAAATACCGACAGTCGGTAAATTAGGCACCGCAGACCCATGTTCCTATGGTGAAATGTGTTTGTCTTGACTTAAGCAATAACGCTACATACATGTGTCCAGAGGGTTACGGGACACCCTGTATATTAGTTTATTTTTATTTGGTTCAAATAACTCGATTTCTTCTGAGATTCCGACTTGAGACTTGCCTAGTTGACTTCACTGCTGGGCGCTTGCAGTTACTGTAGAATTGTTAACATTACATTCTTCAATTGAACCCATTACATTGTGCTGGTCCAACCATTCAGTGACTTTGAGTGCTTGATGATCTGAGGATTGACTGATATATATGATGATTACATAAAGAAAGCGTATCCTGGAAATCACAAAATGATGTATGACCTTTTCTCAATCCATAAAGACCTTAATTCATAATTCATAAAGGGTGAGAGGGACTTGTCTTGAGTACAATCAAACACATAACATGTGTACCCCTCATAGCAAGATCTGATACCTTACCAAGAAACAAACGGAAGAAAACAGAATTTATGCCTAATGAGGCATGCTTCTAATAAGGCGACATGTGCTTATTCAAATTCCTGCATTAATTCAAAAAGATATTTTTAGTTGTTTTACTCAATATTTTGTCATTCCTAAAAGAACAGTGTCAGACTTAGGTTTATTTATTTTGTAAGAAATTATGACAATATTGCAATTGAAAAATAAATCTAATATTGTTTTATTTATATACTAGTTTAATTGTATTCAGTTATTTATAATTTATTATTTTTAGATTTGAATATTACATTTTACAATTTATGTGGCCCAATAATAGCTTTCATAAAATATTTAACTAGTATGTTAACATCCAGTTGATGGAGTGAGATTTTCAGTGTGTTTTCTGTTTTGTATGGCAATTTAAGCGGCAAAGCTTCAACTGAGTACCTGATGGTAACATAGTTTATTTATCTAGACATTTTAGTGTGAGTTGGGGTTTGTAGATGTATTTGAGCTAGCTAACTGTGTGGACTAGAAGTAGTTTTTGTGGTTTGATATCCATGTGTTCTCTAAATTTTACTCAGAAACAAAACAATCCAGAAACAATTTGAATGTAATTCAACCCAGTTTCAATGTGTTGTTTTCACACTATTTTATTGATAATAATTGAACACTATAATTCACCACTATAACTAAGTCAAATAAACAAATATTTGCACTTACATATTTATTGTGTAATTGCCTTGATTTTCTAATCTTACAATGATAAAATTATGTGTCAAAATTTAAACTAACTCTTAAACTTGAACAGTTTCGGCAAAGCTTACTAGCAATCGATCAACTGTAAAAAGCAATTCTACTACTCTTAAACAAACAAACCACTAAAATCATGTTAAAACTATGATTTAAAAGTTTGTTCTAAGTTAACTTCCACTGTAAATTAAAGTACCCTCATATTGGAGGTTGCTTGGTCAGGTTAAATGTTAAATCTAGATTGGGATGACAATTGTATTGCGGAGTGATTTTAGTTTTTGATGCTTTCATCATGTTTCTGAACCTTAACCTAATTTAATATGCAACAAAAACTGTCATACTCTGGCATTTTGTTTTTATTTATTAGCTTTACTGTCTTAGCTTTGAATTATTCTTATAATTTGTTTAGTCAAAGTCAGTAAAATGTTGTAGTGATGGATGAAACAGAAAATGACAACTAGCTAAGTTTTCCCAAACTGTATAATAACTTAATTTTAATGAAATGCCATAGATTAGAAGTGTATACTAGTTTGTAAAATTGAGTTTTCCATGTCTATTGCACTACTTTAATGCCAAATTATGATGAAGAATTGATTTTATTTCATACAACGTTGAATGGTGAGCAAATTTTCTTTAAAAAAACTCATATTACGTCCCAAGCTCTTTTCAAAGTTTTGTAGCAGCTATTATATTTCAAATTTGAATAAGTAATAATTTGTTGTACCCTACAGGAAACAAACTAAAAATGTCTATTTATATATACCAATATAAAAAAGCCTAAATCAACTAAAAACATTTCATGTGTTCCTAAACATGCTTTTTTATGAACGTGAGTGATTTATGATAAAAATTTAAAATAATATTGAAAATCTAAATATAGGCTACCTAGGTTCTAAATAATTGACTGTTCAAAATAAAGTTTTTTGAAAGCCTAAAGTTAACTTAAAGGTTTCAATTGTATACCAGTAAAGCATTAATTACACTTTTTATTTTTTTGTTATTCACAGTTTATTTTAGTGAACAAAAAACTTTATTATTAGCTCCTAAGTATGTGGGTGTTGTGTTGTTATGCATGTTACATATTCAAATTAAATTTGTTAACATAGAAGATGACAAAATGTACTTTGTTATTTCTTACTAGTTGTCCTGTTCTTTACAATACAGTATTTATTTGATCTGTTTTTAGTTACGTTTGCTTGCCTGTTGTTGTCGCCCCATGTTTTGTCATTCAACACCCAAACCTTGCTAACATCAATTATCATTAGTTGTGTGTTTTTGTATTCCATCTTTTAAATATGTAATAACTGTACAAAATGGCCATGAAAATATACAAGGAACCCAATGTTGTGTTGTAGTTTTGAATTAACCAATTACTCTTCTAGTAAAAAACGTGTAGACACACTCAACTATGAGTTTAAAGCAGAGCTAAGACACAGTTGAAAATACAGAAGGCAGTTCTCAAAGCTGGAATTTAACAGTTACATGTACAACATTCATATTACACATTCAAAAGTAACCAAAATGGTTATGTCTATGTCCTAAACCTTGTTATGGAATTACGAGTAACACTTGTAGAGCACATAAACTTGTAACAATGTTCGCAGTACTAATTCTTATTTCACATCAAGTTTTTGTCACTGTTCTGAAAATTTCATACATGCTTCAGTATGTTTATGTTTTAAATGTTACTTTTCAAATTATAGAATAAATGACAAATTTAATTGCTGACACGTTGCCCTAAACTTTTTACAACCTTTAGGACACATAATTGAAAAATTTTCTTGAGTTTTACAACACCATTTTGTTATTTTTTCTTTGAGCTTGATTTTTTTTAATTTTAGAAATGATTAAACGCATTTTGCTACTGTGTTTAAATGCATACTACGTAATATCTGTGGTTTGTTTTTTGTGTTGTTGTGGCTGCAAAAATGTTGTCTGTCTATCTACTAACAATATAATGGATCCTATAAAATTTACAAGAAAGCATATCCTTAAACCAAAATGGTATTTTAAGTCCTAAAAACTCTAAACCTTCTTTTTAATGGATGATATACTCGAGTTCTTTGCTTTATGGCCAATGGGAAGAGAGTAAGATAAGAGTCTTCAAGTTCATACAATTTTCCAATTGTATTGTGTATCTACATAAGACGAAGGGTTGTCCATCCAGGGTTAAACATATTTTTCATTTTCATTTTGTGTATATTTATACATAATTTTTCTAACCTTTATTGCTATTTTAACAAAAAAGGCACCACTAATGGAAGATAGCTTGAGAAAGGAAGTTTACGCTATGTGTTACATGGCTTGAAATTGTGTTGCTTCTGTTTGTTTGGTTACAAAATGGATTTTCTTTTTCATTTAAGATAAGTATAAATGGAAATACAGTAAGACTTTACCAACATTATTTGTCTAGTTAGACTTTGAAATTTAGCTAAGAGTTTGATTTGATTTTCATTTACGTACGGCAAGTTTGGTGTGAATTTTTATCTTTAATTACACTATTAGTTTTATCCAAGTAAAAAAAAACACATGTAAAAAGCTTATCTTCTATTAAACGGGCTGCTAACAGATTTTTTACTGACTGCGGCAGACTTAATAGTCACTTTACAAATCTCTAATTTACAATAGACCCCTAATTTCTACTAAGGCAGAATACCTCTCTACCTTATATATCAAGAGATATCTTTACTAGTAGGAAACACAGATTTGACAGAAATATATGTTTCTCAAAGGAACTCGAGTTTTCTCCACTTTAGCAATTAAATTCTTTGCGTATAATCTGTCCTAAACCATAAACCTGAAAGAATTTTTGTGGATAGAGTTGCCACAAAAAGGAATTTCGTCCTATTATAATAACAACCAATTCTATTACTGTTTTTAAGTCACCAATATTTCATCATCATATAAAACCCCTCATAGCCAGTAGGTAAGAAAAATATGAAATGGTCAGAGGATTTGGTGATACATGGAAGGTTATTGTGCTTAAAGAAAATAAAGGATTTCTGATTTCATGTGCCAAAGGAGCCAAAAATATGGTTTAAAACTGTTTACAGTGAGATATAAATAAATATAATGCTTTTTGTCAAATCACTCAAAAGTACATGGTACAAATAAGGCTACATTTAAATTACACTTAGAAACACTGGAGTTTCATCTATACATTTGGTCTGCCAAAAGGTAATTGGCCTCACAATTTGAACACATTATTTGGACGTAGCCGTCCTGTGAAATGATTTAAACATTCTTGTCACAAAGACTGATAGATTGGAATATATGAAGGTTAATTACCTTTTCCTACAGTTACCTAACAATGTACATGTTCTCTCACTGATTTGAGAAAGCAAAGTGGCCAATTCGCTCCTCAGTGAGACAATGTTAACATTGTCTCACTCTAATTACTTTGTCTCACTCCAGATTTGCAACGTGAAGGCACGAAATAGTGAGCGCGTAACATGCAGGCAACGTCATATGTGCGCGAAATACGTTGGCAGCACTGGCTGTAAATCAGCTGGTCAGCTGTTGTACTGTTGTATTTGTCACTTCACATTAAATGTTATATTAAAAGTTCACTTCTGTGTAAAAATAGGTTATGTTTCTTCACCAATTTATTTGTTTTATTTTTATGGTAACTGTAGGAAAAGTATAATGTGCAACTCGAGTTCAAAGTACAATTACCTCACTCCAGAAACCATTCCTCACTCGCCTACGGCTCGTGAGTAAGGATTTCTCTCGGGTGAGTCAATTGCTCACTTTTCTCACTAGTTGCACAAATAACTATTTTCCGTCTTCAGTCTCTTAGATTTCCTAGTGGATCACAAAACAAAACAGAAAGGAAAACAGTTTTGAGATTCACTTAATCTATTACTACTTATATGTACATTTGAGTGATGTCTTCCTTAATACACAAATATACACAACATAAACAATAAATATTAAAAATACCCCCACACAAACCTGCAGACTAAGCAAATTTCCATTTGCCTGATTTGATTTTCAATTAAAATTAGGTTTTTAACAAGTACCTAGGTCCCCTGCCTACAGGGAGGGTATTAAAGTGTGTTTTTTAGTAAAATATTAATAGATTAGTATGAAATAAATAGATTTGCCAGGTTTGATCCAAATATAATATCCATAAACAAGCAAACTACAACAGTTAACTTATTCTCTATAAGAATAACATGGGAATTTTTAATTTACAATTTTCTCCGTAACCAATAATCTTACAGAAATACTAAATATACTGAATAATTTCTTCTTCTTTTTAAACTCTTCAAAATGGTCTAGAGAAAATTTGGGAAATTTTATGTTTTGAGGGTCAAAAACAAGAAAAACCAATTTCCCCCCAATAAATCCCCCTATAAAACCCCTTTCCCATTGTTCGATCATGCTGGTTTCGCGAACTTGTTTTATTAAATGTAGGTTAAATTTCATCGAAATCGGATCATTTTTGCTTGAGTATTCTTGCTAACGGACACACACACACTCTCACATAGGAGTCGTGTTTAAAAAACAGTTTGGTAATGATTTTTGGGGATAAAGTACACTATTATTTACCTCTGTAACTAAAAATTTAAACTAATGAATCAACAATTACCTCAATGGCTTAGTCTTACACTACTATGAGTTAGCGAGAGATGACTTCCACTCATCTTAACAGTCTTAGTCACATTATATTGGGATTATTTCATCATCTACTCTGTTCAATAAACACTACCGTATACTACAACATTCTCTCAAAAAGTGTCTGTTTGTATGTGAGTTTGCATTGTATGGTTGTATGGTGGTGTTTGGTGGATTCAGGGTTCAAGCACGCCTCCGAAGTTATGAGAGTATGTCACAGACGGATTTGATAATAAACTTATCATACTAACAATTATTGTCTTACATACTGTGTTGTTATACAGTGAGCAAAATATTTGATACATATTTCATTGATGGATAGGTCAACTGAGGCCAAAGGCCGAGGTAGAAATCATGTGAAGCTCTTTAAATTTACCTACAGGGTGTCCAGGAAAAACATGGCTCAACAATAAGGTAAGTTTGTCAATAGCATCTCCTCTGAAATGTCTTATACCGAAGGACATTGAAATGAAATATAAATGTTGATTTCTGTTATTTGTAATTGTAAGCTTGACATCAAGTTTAATTTTTCATGACGTTTTGTGGTGAAGTCCCAAAAACTTGGCCTAATGTGGACCGTATGGGTGCTGAGTTTGACAAATGCCACGTTTTTTGCAAAAAGGGAAATGAGTATAAGCCTAGTATTTTCCTTTCAGTTCTCTCATACAGGTACATTATATACATCAATTTTATGGGGAGCTTTATACAAATTTAAACTAAAACCAAATGTAGAAATTAGAAAACTAAAACCTTTTATAAAGTTTGTAATTTTTAATTATGTCTTGTACACTTCACTCTCACTTATAATAATTGTGTCAGCTCTATCTAAAGAACCTACATCTACAAAAAGTTTACTTAAAATTGTCAAACTCGTGATTATATTTTAGCTTGCTATATAGAAAGAACAGATGCTACTACTCGTAGATTTGTAAATACAGTTTTTAAAAACCCCTGATTATATTAAAATAAACAGAGCTAAGCAGTTTTGAAGAACCTACTTTTTTATTAATTATGGTTGGAATTTAAAGATGTGTCGGTTTGAAGATCTATATTAGTAATTTGTTTCAGTATTTCCTTCACTGTCATATTATAATCTACAAACATATGCATAATCCATTTCTTGAATTAATAGGCAATTGTTTTATAACTTTATAACTATCAAGGTATGGGACCCGTGTCGTTGTCTGCTTCATTACATTGTTTTTTTCTGTGGTTTCGGTGTATTGTGGTGCGTTTAAAAGGGGTTTACTGTCTCGGCGCAGAAAGCTGGATTTTTGAGTAGTGAAATGATCGATTATTTGTTTCTTAATTTGTTCACTAAAGTGAAACTCACTTTGTTTTTAACAGAACCCATAAGAAAAGGAAAAAGAAAAACGGTAGCTAAGAAGTGGCCAGCAATCCCACATGGGTAGGGTGAGTTAAAACATTTTACGGTAGTTTTTTTTATGTTGGATCCACTGTAAAGTAGGCATTTCGGTACTATTGGAAAATATATCCTACAGTTTGTATACAAGACGTAAACATACATTTGTCTTTTTGTCCTTTTTATATTTTAGCTTTTATACTTTTATTGTGGGTTTGTAACTATCACTACTAAATAATTTTCTGTCACAAAGAATAGCTGAGCATAAACTGATGGAAAGGTTTGCAGGTAGGTCTATTCATCCTAATTTATTGTTTATATTGGTTGCCTTTATGGCATACTTAACGATTAACAAATTAAATGTCGCTCTCCAATCCTTTTTGACAAAGAATAAATGTGATAAAAAACTTGAACTTGTAATAGAATATTGTCTGGGTGTGATTCAAATTTTCCCTTGTACAGTTTAAGAATAAAAGGAGTCACGAATGACAGACAAAGGACTATATTGCAATCTTCAAGACCTACTGTGCCCCTGCATCTTGACTGTCTTGGGTTTCCTAGAGAACCTCTGCCAGTACCTGTATCCAATCGAAATTTATTTGCTGATAGAGTTCTATGAGGGGTATCCCCTAGTTGGTACCTGCCGAAGCATTTCACCA